TTACCAGATCCAGGGTCCCAGGTAAGGGCTAAAGCCAGTATTGCTCTGAGTGTTTTGTCATCTTCTTTCTGATACTGGATCCCTTTACAGCTGGTGTTGTGGATCCCTTTACACGCACCCTAAGACCCATATAGAACCTTTATGGATATTTTTACGTAGTGAAGACCATAGGTAGCCCTCAAGACTATCTCCAGACTCCGAGCTTTGTGAACCGAAATTTAAGTTCAGATCGGGTGGTCCTCTTCAAGGGCTGCCAGTGTATGTGGGTAGTTCTCTAAATTAGGGCCCCGCTTTAGGTCCTACCAAAGGTTGCTTGGCACCGTTTCTGCCGCTCGCTTGTTGGAGCAAGAGCGCAAAGAAGGGATCCTGAGCAGCCCCCACATGAAAAAGTAAGAGGAGCAACATTACGGCGAAACAAGAGGGGGGCCCTAGGGTTTCAATCTGAAGGTCTAGGGTTGTTAAGGTTTAGGTGTTTAGGGTTTGGAGTGCTTTGAGTGATTTGGTGACCCTAAACCCTAAACCCTAAACTTTGAACCTTAAGCCCTAAACCCTAAACCTTAAACCCTAAACGCTAAACCTTATGCCCTAAACCCTACACCTGAAACCCTAAACCCTAAACCTTAAGCCCTATACCCTAAACCCTAAACCTTAAACCCTAAACCTTAAACCCTAAACCTTCAACCTTAAACCCTAATCCCTTAACCTTGAACCCTAAACCTTCAACCCTAAACCTTCAACCCTAAACCCTAAACCTTGAACCCATAAACCCTGGACCCTAAACCCTCAACCTTGAACCCTAAACCCTAAACCCCCTGAAGCTGATAGAGCCCTTATAGAGGCGAGGAATCTCTACTGTAGGGGCCTCCACAAGCTCATCAGAAAAGTCTGGGGCAAACTCGCAGTCGTCTTCCACCTGACATAGGATTTAGGATGCAGGGTTTAGGGTTCAGGGTTTATGGCTTAGGGTTTAGGGTTTATGGTTCAGGGTTTAGGGTTCAGGCTTTCGGGTTTAGGCTTTAGGGCATAGGGCAGAATGCACCAGAGACTGGAATATACCAGAATGTGTACCTGCGCTCAGTGATTTGTGCGCGAGGCCTGGAATTTCTCATTGAGATGTTTGCCAAAGGTTCTTGTACCCAAAAAGTCTATACTTAGGCCTTAATAGGCAGTTTCTATCTAGGTACGTTACGGCCTAAGTATATACGACGGCTGATGATCCAAATCCTGCATTACCCCTAACTAGGAATATACTGTAAGGATTTTATGGAAAAAACTAAGTATCACCGGCTTCGGGTCGATCTGCCTATGCTGCCACTGCTACTCCTCCTAATATAGTATACTTACTGTATAATTAGAATGTGGTTTCGGGGTATAAGGAACCCCCAAAACAAGTATAGGTAATTATTAAGGCTCCTACTACCATCCACCTCCACCTCCTCCTCCTGCTGGTCCTGCTGGTGCCGAGGTTGAGGGTTTAGGGTTTAGGGGCTGCTCCTGCATACTAAGACAGCTTCCCAATGTCGAAGTTGATACCGCTGAGAGAAGAATCACACCCGACAGGGTCTACGTGTCTGTACAAGGGATGCTGGCTGAAGCTATGGGGCATAGAATGTAGGATCCACGAATCTGAATTGACCCCTGAACCCTAAACCCCAAACCGTTAAACACTACAAAGCGACCCGAACCTCAACGGACTGCACAGCTAAGCAATGGACCACCAGAAACTGGCTTCGCTCATTCCCGTGGTATTTGCCTGGCTGGCGCGGTGTAGGGTTTCGGGTTTGGGTCTCGGATTTAGGCTAGGGTTTAGGGTTTAGGGTTTAGGGTTTAGGGTTTAGGGAAATGTGCTATGGGACTTTCTCTCCGCAGAAGTCAAGCCACAGCCCTAAGGGCCAAGCACTCGGAAGAAAAGAACTCCTCCCTCACTTGTCACAGGGTTTCGGGATTAGGGTTTAGGGTTTAGGGTAGAGCGCTGACGTCTCCTGTGCTTGCGACGAGTTATTGTCCTTTCCCAAAGGGCCCTGAGTACAAAGTAGACACTGAACGGTGAAACGATGCATGTCACCTATCAGGCAATTATTGTCACGTGACATACTGCTCTGGACTCGAAGGCCACACCGCACATGTAATTACCCGAACAAGGAGTACACCCTAAGCCCAAAACCCTCCACACTGCCCCAAGAACACCGACACATCCCAAGAACAAACACACGACCCCGCTTGGTGCCAGGGCCGACATGGTACTCCTACAGTCGAAGCCCCTTACCGCTAAGGTTGAACCCATGGGCCCCTAACATGGGCCCTTAGGGGATTCTAAGGTCCCTTAAGGGTACATATAGGGTATATAGTAGGTATATTAGGGTCCCAGGGTTAAGGGCCCATACTAGGGGCCCATGGGTTCTACCTTAGATTACCGCTCACCATAAACTTCGCTACGGAGCTTTACAGCTCGAATCGAGGCCTTCCCCGTGGTGCTTCATGATGTCCAGCCATATCCTGATGGTTAAGGCTACATACACCGCAATCCCCTAAACCCTAAACCCTAAACCCTAAACCCTCAACCGTTAAGGCTTGGGCGGGGTGTGGGCTTGAAGATTCCAGACTCAAGCATTGCTCTACCCTTCGCCATACTGGCCTTAGCTCGATGAGGCTTAGCAGCTTTGTTGTAGAAGCCCAAAAGTTGGAAACCCAATAGCCTCAAGCCTTAAGAGTAATGTATAGGGAATCCCAGCACTATTTGTCCTCAATCCGGTTTCCAACTTTTTTGGGGGTGTATTATAGGGCTTAGGTAGCGACACAAGTTGGAAGAGGGGAGAACTTTCTGTGGGACCCTGATGATGATAACGAGAAAGAGCGAAGCTCTTTTCTCCACACAGCAGCCCCAGCCCCTTCCTCGACAGCAGCCGGGCAGCCCCAAGATCAGCTCAGTCTCGAAAACCCTCAACCCGAAGCCCCAGTACTAAAAAACCTTCAACTTGTATTCGGCAATCTGCATCAGGCCGAATCCCGACTAAAAAGGTTTTACAAGGTTCTATGACTGTCTGAAGGGTTTCACATCGGGGTCAACCTGAGGCTCAACAATGACCAGAGTGACACTGACCAACGGCAAACTAATCATGAGGATGAACGAAAGCTTAAGTGCACACAGCGGCGCAATTATCCTGAGGCATATCTTCTCCACACTACAAACAATAAGGTTCACTTTTCAAACCTGGTAGGAACATAAACCGAGGTGCTGCATGTGGGACAAAGCACAGCCAATGGCACCAGGTGTTAGATCCATGCCAAACACCTCGTCCAGACGCTGCTAGGGCTCAGGGCTCAGGCAGCAGATTCGGATGCAGCCACTTCAAGGGTTTAGGGTTAAGGGTTCAGGGTTTAGGGATTTTCTTGGACCGTGCTCTGCGAGGTGTTCTACGACTTTGTGCTTTGTCGGTGGATGCAGGCAGGCTATCTATACATACATATATATATATATATGTATATATATATATATATGCACCTTCGCGGTGCGACTAGATCGTCCTATCTTCATTCCGACGCTGCAAAGCACTTCTGAGCCTTCCCAGCGAGGCCTGGAATTACAGTTCAAAACTCTTCGGGGCCGGGGTTCGTAAAGCTGCCCAGACTCTTCCAAAATCCCTAGTATACCGTAACTTATAGTATGGATCCCTAATGAGATCTCAGGGGTAGATTCCTTAATTAAGGGGTTGTGGAAAGAACCCTAAAACCTAAACCCCTTAACCCTGAACCCCTAAACCCTACACAACTAAACCTCAAACCCCTAAACCCTAAACCCTAACCCTAACCAGATGGAAGCTTCAGCTTCGAGCTGGGAGTGGTATAGGCAGCACCGAAGCAAAGCGAAAAAAAAAAACAAGTCTCCTAAATCACATGGGTAGCTCTCTAAATTAGGGTCCCTCTTAGGGTCGGTGCCGTACTATATTGGGACCTAAGAAGGGACCCTAACTTAGAGAACTACCCACTTGGGTTTCTACCAGAAGCAAAATTAGCAGGAAACCCGGCCTTACGGCGGTATACTGGCTTAGGGTTTAGGGTTTAGGGGTTTAGGGTTTAGGGGTTTAGGGTTTAGGAGTCTAGGGGGTTAGGGGTTATAGTTGGTGATAGCCACTCAAAT